TCTTTCTTTCTTTCTTTCTTTCTTTCTTTCTTTCTTTCTTTCTTTCTTTCTTCTTTCTCTGTTTTACTGACTTTTGCACCAACTTTTCATAGGGAAAAAAAATCCTACTTTTTTAACTTACTCGACGGATGTGCTGTCAGTTGAAACCGAATCAGTTGAAACCGAAGGAAAAGGAATAAGACAAGCGCGGGCAAAGAGCCCTCTTTATGAGCTGGCGTTGATGACGTTATCAAATGTTTTATGGACATAAGTTCTGTATTCCTTTTTTTCTTTTTAACTGTGGAAATTAGAATCCTAGAAAGTAGCCGACCTGAATCTTTTTTCCCCACCTCTGCAGGAATTGAGTACAATCTGCTGCGCTGGCCCATCGCGTGCTCCGACTTTTCCATGCGGCCGTACAGTTATGACGACCGCTGCAGGGATGACTTTGAACTCAAGTGTTTCAGCCTGGCCCCGGAAGATACCAAGCTTAGGGTGAGCTTGGCTGGGCTTAGCGCTCACCCCCCCGTGGCTTCCCGGTTGCATTGCAGGCTGGTTTCTGCAGGCAGCAGAGACAGACTTCTCCCCGTGCACCACCCACAGACTGGGCAGTCATTCCCAATGGGCAGAAATGCCTCCCCTCGTTTGAAAAATCATAAATCCCTGTTATGGGGATATGTGGCATGTCTTTGGACGTATCTCTTTCATTTGCCCGGCAACGAGAATTCTCTGGAGGCCATGGAAGCTGCTTCTTTTATAATGTAATATAATAATTACTACTGTAATTATCAAGCCCAAATTAATCCACTGCAGGATAAAAGCCTCTGGTCCAAAACAGGCTGGATGAGAAATGATTTTCAGCTTCCCAGCTGAAGGGAGGGGCGGGGGGGGTGACAGCCCCCAAATTCCCCAGGGAGCCTCTATGGCTGAAGGGGGACTCGAGCCTGGGTCTCCCCACTCCGCATCCAGCACCCTCCCCACTGAACCCTATTGGCTGTCATTTATACTATGTCAAAACCAGACACGACACAGAAGGAAAAGGGGCTGCGGCGGGTAAAGGAAAAACGAAGCCGCGCCGGTCCTCGCTCCCCCATCTTGCCATTCAGCTCCAGGACTGACACGGTCAACATCAATCAATCCATTGGGGGGGGAGGAAGATTGCGAGAACGCTCTTGTTGAGGTTGGATCAGGCCAGTCCTCCCGGCTCCCGATCCCTGGAGCAGTTGCTGTGTCTCTCCACAGATCCCCCTGCTCTACCGTTTCATGGCAGCCTCCAAGAGACCTCTGTCCCTGATTGCCAGCCCTTGGACCAGTCCTGGCTGGCTAAGGGTCAGCAACAAGGTTCAAGGCAAGTCCTGGTTAAAGGGAAAACCGGGCGACCGTTACTTCGACACATGGGCTCGCTATCTTATCAGGTAATGGCATTTTTTCCAATCCCGTCCCGCTCATGAGCTCTTCTTACAAACCTGAATTTAGCAGGCTTCTCCCCTAGCCAAGCCCTACCCCCAAAACATGATCTGGCCCACTTCTTGAAACTCCCAAACCAGCAGCTGTAGTTAAAGATTGAGAAATCAGCCGGACATCAGTGAGGGAGAAGCTTAGTCCCGGAGTCAGTTCAGACTTCTGCCTTTCCCACCCTCTCCCCAGAAATAGGGGAACCGTTTCAAGCTGACCCCGTTGCATTTTTATTCCTTTATTTTATTACAGTCCTTTCTCCCTCCTCCAGAGCAGTGTTTTCAAACTTGGCAATGTTTAGACGGGTGGACTTCAACTCCCAGAATTCCTTAGCCAGCATCTGGCTGGGGAATTCTGGGAGATGAAGTCCAGTGTTTTTCAAACTTGGCAACGTTAAGAGGGGTGGACTTCAACTCCCAGAATTCCTTAGCCAGCATCTGGCTGGGGAATTCTGGGAGATGAAGTCCAGTGTTTTTCAAACTTGGCAACGTTAAGAGGGGTGGACTTCAACTCCCAGAATTCCTTAGCCAGCACCTGGCTGGGGAATTCTGGGAGATGAAGTCCAGTGTTTTTCAAACTTGGCAACGTTAAGA